TAAAAACAAATGTGAATTATTGATATGAGCACATATTATAATCAAAAGATCAAACACGGTAATGATTTTGAGACGTCCGAAAATGATAAACAAGACAATTATTCCAGGACGAAGGGTGTAGCTTTTATAAAATTGCCCTGAATACGAGTAAAAATGTTTTGAAATTTCAAGATAAGACTTTCATGTTTTTAAACCTTATATAGGAGTATTTTATGCTAAGTTGGGAGAAAACTTGGCAGAAACTAACAAGTTTGAAGCCTGATAATGCCAAATATGACAAAAATTACTAATATTTAGAAATTAAAAACATGACCACGTTATTTTGAAATTTCAAAATTTTTCACTCTTACTTAAAGAATTTTTCCTAGCTTTTAATAATAGGATGGTTCCGTAATTCCGTTTAATGAGTTTAGTAGAATTGAATAAGATTAACACGGAGTATTTCTATCTTTCAAAAACTACTTTGCGAGTTACGAAATGAATGGCATCACTTATATATATATTTTATTAAATTAATTGCAACCGTTTAACAATTACAAAGTCCAGACAGTGTTTTGACCATATTGTCCATAATAAAGTAGGGAGTACTTCGTTAAAAATGGTGCATATACTCACATGCACCGATGCACTCCAATATTAAAGTGTCAATGATGTACACATGCCAAAAAAATTTAAACATAAAAATATACTCCGTAACTAATACACCATAAAAACTCGTCCCGTTATGGGGGTGTTTGGTTGCTAGCTTATCAGCTATTTTTTGGCTGTTTTGACTATTAAATGACTCTTTGACCATTTCAAACTGCTATTTAGGTGTTTGGTGAATCAGCCTCTTCTATTAGCTTTTCATCTCAATCAGCCAAAAACCAAAACTCCAATTTTCCTAGCGTTTTCATTTGGCCGTTTGAGTTTATTTATTAAAATACGGATTTGACCTTGTTTTTAAATCATACTCCGTACGTAACTCTTGCACAAAAATCAAAGATCCTTTGTAAATCAAAGAAAAACACAGTCTTGTGGATTGTTTAATAATATCAATTCAACAATTTTGTTAGAAATTCTTTTAATATATACTCCGTAAAATACATTACTAAATGTACTTCGTATAAGTGATGGCATTAAATTTAGCAAGAAATGAATAAATACATAATACATTACAATTAAACTTATTTGTCCTTAATATTTTTAAAACTTGGGACCCCATAAATCTTGGGGCCTGCTCCGGATAACCTATTGAACCCCTAAAAAACGGCTCTGGGTAACATTAATATTTAAATACATTTTTCATTTTTACACAACTTTTCTTGGTATAATCCTATTAAGTCTTGAAAACAATGTTTAAAATACTTATTACTTGTGTTAATACATTTTTATATATTTTTTGAAATCATAAATAGGGTTTAAGTAGTTGTACTAATTAAATTAATAAAAAAAATTGATGTCCTTAAAAGTCATTTAACAAATTATCAGCTAATTATAAGCAGCCATTTAACCAAACACCATCTTACAAACTGCTAATCCTACCAGCCGATCAAAACAGCCAACAGAACCTGCTGCCATCAATCAGCTAACACAATCAGCCAACAGCTAACAGCCAACGGCCATTTGACAAACACCTCCTATATATTCTTTTCATTTGTTTTTTATTTAATACGTACTAGTAACTAAAAAATTTTATGCCGTGGAAAGAAATAAAGAAAGATTTTTTTTATTAGTTAATTCTTTTTGTGTCTATATATACTCTTTTGCCATGTGTGCACTGTTCACACATTTGCATCTGAGACAAGGATGGGGGCAAGTATTCACTTGCGGAGTCAAATGACACCACTCACTATATATATTTATTGTATATATATGTGTGTATATATATATACATATATATGAGAGTTCAAATACAAAGAGTTTTTCCCTTGCAAAGTGGGAATTAATCTCGTGCGTTCATTTTGAGATCTAATGGCTCAAAATGAGCCAAAAGTGAATTAAATTTGATCAAAAACGCGGTGACAATTTCGTAATTAAAACGAATTTTTTTGCCATCGCGAAAAAGTGCAACAGAAATACGCAAAAGTGCAACGCGGTGAAGAAAAAGTGCAATTGTTTGCACTTTGCACGGGAGAACCTCTTTTTATTTGATCTCTTCCCTATATATATATATATATATATATATATATATATATATATATATATATATATATATATATATATATATATATATATATATATATATATATATATATATATATATATATATATATATATAGTCATGTACCTTGGTGTGTTGGAAACTGATTAAATAAGTTGTGATCATGTAGTGTTCAAGTACCCAAAGGGCTTCCACAACGTGGTAGCCGTGAGTAAGGACACCTACGAAAACTGCGGTGCACCGCGGCTGGGAGTCGACAAGGTAATGACATCGGGGAATGATCTGTTCGTTCTGAAAAAGGGATGGAATTACTTCATTTGCAGCTACCCGGGTCACTGCGCGGGCGGGATGAAGTACATGGTCAATGCAGCGTGATAAAACCGGCCCGGCCTGCCTACATTTTTGCCAGCCAGAGCCACATATAATATAAATAAATGCAGAGTTATGTTCTTTGCTTGTTTTAAGCTATATGTTTTCACTTTTCAGTATAATCTTTTGAAGTGTTTTGCATTATTAGTACGCTTTTAGTGTGAGTGCAAATGCATTATGTAATTTTGGGGCTATATGTTCGCCAAAATTTGTATTGGATTCTAGTGCAAATGTAGCATATATATAACGTTACGTTGGACTTGTATCTTAGCTCAGACTTTCGATCTTTTGAATTGATAGATCTATGGAATTGAAACATGCTTCTTGAGTTTGTTCAATATTTATGGGTTGTATGATCACAAGATTATATTCATTCCCGCAAAATGTAAAGCACATTGAATTTAAATTGTACTGCAATCCGTATATTATTAGTTTGACATTCCTAAATGTCACTTTTTAACTGAATGATAAAACGTGACACAGTATTCCCGGCCGGGTTGGTTTTTTAAACATAGGTTACAAGTTCATATTCTCAACTACATGTCCGATAGTTGGAGAACTGAATAAATCAAAAGTAGAACTTCACATTATTATTCTCATTCCATTGTTTTTGATACACTACAAAGTACAAAGACCATGTTTGCATCGGCCCAGTTTCTTACCAGCTTGCATTCCTTATAAATGGTACTACGTATTACCGAGGGGAGAAGTTCACGAACATTACGCGTGTCATTTCATGGTATGCTGCTGCCAGAGACCTTGATGAGGTTAATAAGATATGCATCGAATGGAAGGGAACTTTGCAGAAGAAGCATCCATGTGCAGAATCTTACAACATAATTATTGACCTTTGTGCCCAAAAGAGAAATGATCTTGATGCGTAAAGGTGTTCAATGGGATATAAATGATGGGTCACTTCCGAATTCTAGAATGTACACTGTTATAATCGACCATCTTGGGAAATCTGGGAATTTTGATTCAGCAGACAAGCTTTCAAGATCTTGCCGAGGATGAAATGCACATTGAAGCACTAGTTAGAAATGAACGGTTGGATACTTCGATGACGTGAAAGATTTGCTTGAGGTAATAAGGGATGAAAGGATATTGTTTGGCCGGGCTATGCAGTTAACTTTACAAAAAATGCAGCCGTCAGGTAGTGATGGGAACATCAATGCATTGATTGAAGTAATGCTTGCTGACAGAAGCATTAAGAGCATTTCTTAGTGCATAGGCTATTCGAATGAGGACGATGAAGAGAAAGAAGATGCTGAAGGTCTTCCAAACCAATGTTAATTAAAGCCGTGGATGGACCTTGCTGCTTGGGCTAGTACACTGCAGAACTGGGAACCCGATGAGGTGTCAACTTTGGAGGATACAAAGTTTGTATGGACAACTCAGCTAGTCACCAAGATGATTACAAACATCAACTCTTGGAGAGTTTTTGAGGAAATGTGCAATTATATAATTGATTGATTCTGCCACTAAAGACCAGCTTGTGAAGAGCCTTTGGAAAGAAGAGAAGCTGCCGGAGACTGCTGCTGTTGAAGAGCAAAATGAGGACATAAGCAATGGTCCTTTTGCTTTGACAGGGCACATGTTCAGTTGTTCACCATTAATGGTTTGGACCTTAGAAGAGTTTATGTGATACTCTAATAGTTATGAAAATAATGAACAATTATCACTGGATGTAATAATAGATGGATGAAGAGTACATAATAAGGGGCTAAGATGCTAAGTAGTGAAGTTCTGCTTTTCATTTATAACAAAGAATATGCATTTTTGGGAAACAAATGGCCATATTCTAAGTAACCAACTGAAAGGTAACATTGGGTTCTTGTTGTCTTTCGAATTCATTTGTTCATCAAAGCTAAACATTTCTCCTTTTTGTGGTGTGTGCTGTTCTTGTTAAAATCATATTTGAAATATCGGCACTGAGATGATCTGTGCACATAAGCATGAACTGTTGTGAACTGATATAGTTGAGACAATAGAAAATCAATGAGTGGTAGATGCCATTATGTTGGTTATTCCTTGCCATTTCTTTGAAAGTGATCACAGTAGAAATGAGTATTTATTAAAAGCTTCCCTCCTCACTCCACGTGCCTTCAAATGGCTTGTGATCTAAAAGGGTTTTGACAAGAAAATAATCTTTTTCACTTCAGAACTATAGTAGACCAATACAGTATGTTAAACAATAAACTGCATAGCTGCGATCACTACTAAAACACTATAATCTAAAGCCTGAATCTTAAACTCTAGAAGGGTACCAAGTGTTTGTCTGAAATTTTTCTCTCACGCCTAAAGATTTTAAGTTTTGATTTTGGATCAATTTATCTTTTCTTGGTGTGTTGCCAATGTGGCTATTGACTTGCTTTGTGATATCCCCTGTATGTTCTCCATGATGTAATGCTTTTGCTATGATCAGTCATACCATAATTTGCCTCAATTCTCTACTTTTGAACAATAGGTTTGAACACTAGTTAATTGGCCCAAATTAGTTAACCATTATTAAAAGATCCAAATGTCCCACTTTGATCCTCTTTGTCAGGTCAACCTTCAACCATATTAATCACTTTTAGCCTAACCTAATTAGGGTTTGACCCTAATTAGGGTCCACAGATACACACGTATAAAGGAAAGAACTCTTCATAGTGGCTATTTCAGAGGAACTCGGTAAGAGGGGTCCACCATTTTCAGGATGAAGAGGTTGCCTTTATCACCTCTTGATACTCTGTTAATGACACATCATACTATGTAAATGAGATAAATAACAGTTTAATTCTATGGAAACGCACTGTGCAGAAAAATGGGTGACAGTTACCTCATTTCTTCATCCAAGTAAGTAATATCGAGTGACCCGCGAGCTGTTTCAGGAGCTTTTATTGGTATCTGTCATCAAAATGAGTGTATAATTACTGCTCTCAATCAATAAGAGAAAAGAGTTGCAGTCCATGGAGGAAAAACACAGATTACCATTAAACAAGTAAACATTATTTTCTTCATGAATGGAGGCTATTATTAAAACTTTTCCCACAGATACAAATATGAAATTATGTCAACTATATGAGCTTATCCAGTGTATTTTCTACCATATACGGAGTATATCAATAAAAACATAAGAACATAGATGAACATACCAGCCCTACAATTTTGAAGTAATCAAACTTTACAGCCACCTTTCTTGCATTTATTGGAGTTAAATCTGCTGACACCTGCAGAAAAGTGAATTTAATTCTTATCTTAATGTATTGTCTTTCATTAGCTTAATAATAACTTGCTAGAATTATGTATCATACTCATGATCAGTTGGAACTAATATTGCAGTTCACCAACTCCAATATTCGAAATGTAGAAAGTAAGTGAGGTGCATGCAAGGATTAAAATATCGATCTTTATTGAAACATTGGCACCTTGAGTTTATGGAAACATTGGAAGATATTTCAAGATCAATATTCGATTCTTGTCGGAAAATATAATTTTTCTAAGTTCTTGAGAAAAGATACTGAGATATCAATATTTTAAATGTATCATTTGATAATCCCCAAATATTTCTTGAAATGTTGCAGTGTAATGTTTTCCAAATTATTCTTCTGGACTCTAAAAAGATTTCGTTACCCCCTATGTAGATATACAATACCTCAAAAAATGACACTTTAATTGAAATTCCAAAAATATTGGAATATATTCATCTTTGGGTGCATGAGCACCATTATGATCAAGTGTGGTATAAGTTTATATATTTGTTATGTGTGTCATTGACACTTACGATATTAACTCAGTTTTTAACTAGGAGGAAGGCCCATAAAGTAGCTAGTTATATGCGCCTTTGCACATCACCTTGGTGTCGCACTATTGGCCCGGTTCAACACGCAGTACCAAATCTAGTCCAGCACTTTAGCTAGTTATATGGTTTATGTATGTCTGGTATATCCTTTTTTGCTCTTTTACTACTTAATTTCTTTCATATATTTTAAAAAACTGAAATGGGGCAGTGCAATTTCAAGAATCCAATTACCTGGTTGAAGGTGGGCCACGATTCCATATTTTGTGCTCGAAGGGTGTCAATGTTGATCCCTTGGTAGTTTGTTCTTGATCTTAAGAACTTTGGTCTCTGTTCACAAACAATGTTAGTAAATAATACTCACAATATAAACATACTAGTATATAATATGACAGCGAGTGTTTTTGCAAGGTAATTAAGACTTACATTTGTTTGGAGTATTGATTGTGAAGTTGTATACAAAAGTTCCCACTTTCCATTTAAGAAAGGAGACTTCAGAGGCTGTTTTGTAGGATTGACTGCTTCCAGCTTCCTAACAATCTGATAAAGAGGCAGATATATTAATTATTAATTAAGGAAACTCAGTCACTAAAGTACACACACAAACAATAAAGGCAACACAAACTCGGTCATTTTTCTTTTTGACACTATTTTTTAGCTTGATGATACAGATTGTATTTTCAAGAATTTGGTTGTGGCCTGCCTCTATTTGTAAGCCCCAAAATGGGAATGCTTTTGTGGTTTGATAATCTCTTTTTTTGTCATATCTCACTCCCATAACTATTGGCCTATTGCATTACTTACTTAGTTATTTATATACCAAAACGGAGAGCCCACCCCTGAACCCTTGAGATATTTAAATTGTGAGTGGTTAAGTTGTCATCCAGATTTTCAATGCTACCTATTTACCTTTAAGCTCAGAAGCTGCCTCTAACTATCATAGCTCCCAAAAAGACCTTTCTCAACTACTCAAAGTTCTAAGCAAGTTCTATCTTACCCTCACTTAGCATGTTTTTACTTGGACTTATTTCAATCCCAAACCAAATCAGAGCAGATAAAGACTTCCGCAGTTATAAAAATACATAGAGACCGGACATGTACTGGACCAAATCAGACGGGACTAATGTCAGTCCAGGTAAAAACATCCTTAACGCTAAGACTAAACGTCCATTAATACGTCACTTAGGCTGGAGGGCTAAGGATAATCAAGTGACCCCCCAATCCACAATCCCTCAGAATGTTGTTAAGACGTTTTTGTAAACTTTTTTGAAAATGTTTTTATTGTTTGGTGTTAGAGAAGTGTGTTTGAGGTTAAGATATCTCATTTTAGCTATATTAAATTTCATGTACAAACAGTTTTTGCTCTTTTCCAATTAAGTACTTTTCCAGTCGCCAAAATAAATTAAAAAAATATTCTCCCATATACAGTACTTCGTATTTTTCAACCACATCTTCAATCCCTTTAAACAGAAGTAAATTATTTCAGAGCAAATAATAATTTACATCCTAACGGAATACTTCAGAGCATTATTCTTCCAAAGCAAAAAACATAAAGAAAAAGCAAAAAAGGAGTAACCTGCTCAATCTGATCCTGGTCTTCAGGAGAGGCCTCCGCACCACGATCTAGGGGCGCAAGTGCCTCAAATAGTTCTCCTTTAATGGCTTTTGGGTCTTTTGTTTTGTAAAAATTAAAGAACGTTGGGAATAAAGATACATTGGCTCTCCACTTGGGATCACTACTATTAATGATGACAGGGCCTCCACGGCTGCTGTTATAACCGGCGGCGTTGTGGGTGGCGGAGGCCGGGGGAGAGTGGGGTTGGTGGACCTTTGGGAATTTGCGAGCGGCGACGAGATTGGTCGCCGGAGCTGAAATTGTAGAAAAGGCCATCCGGTCAGAAAGGTGACTGTGAGGGAGGATGAGAATATCAGATAGCATTGTGAGTTTGAGTTTGTGGCAGAGAAAATCCTCAACTGTTTATTCATTGGGAAATTCTTGGTGTACCCTCTCTCTTACACCATGTGTTACACTCTCTTCATTTATTTGTCATTTTCATAGACAAAAAACGTACAAATAAAGACACTTTCTATAAAATTATGGGAGTGAATAAAATTAGTTTTGAGATCTGTCAGATTGGTTGCACGGAAACTAATGTCGATGTACACAGATATTAGTTGTCTGTGTAAACAAAAAAGTGATGGTGTGAAAAAAATTGGTTTGCAAGTCTCGGTGTACATAGACACTAGTTTCTGTGGAGAAACAAAAGTGTATGTACATATACAATTTTAGTCAGTGTACACAGACACTGAGAGCAAATCAGTGTCGGTGTGCATAAACGTAAAAAGAAAGAATTGATAAAGAAGAAGATGATGATGATGATGAACAACAATGATTCAAAGGAATCGTTTCTAAACTTAGCTAATAAAACGTAAAAAGAAAAGAAAACGAGAGAAGGGAAAAGAAGAACATGATGATGAAGAAGACGATGAAGATGATGAAGATGAAGGTGAATAAAACGTAAAAAGAAAGAAAAAGAGAAAAGGAAAGAAAAGAAGAAGAAGAAGAAAGGAGAAAGGAAGAAAGAACAAGATGATGAAGGAGAAAGAAAGAAGAAAGAGAGGGGGTTCTTATGGTGCAAAGGGGAGAGAAGAGAGTGGGAAGGGAGGGGAGAGAAAAAAGTGTGAAGAGAGGAAATAAGAAATGGGGGTTTATATAGGGTGTACCTGACGAATTTTTCTTATTCATTTACACTCACTTCATACTTTTTTGTTCATGTTGGTTCCAAAAAATATCCAAATCATTTTTACTTTTAATTTTTTACAATTCAAATATCTCAAATTTTGAAAGGATATGAGGTAAATAATTATATATTTTAAACTTATATTTCTTCGGTATTTAAAAGTTTGTTTCATACACTTTCCTATTTAAGATGTATTTAAAAGTTTACCGCACTTTGCATCTTTGATAAATTTCTCTTTTATAAAAACTCAATTATCCTTACTTTTTTACTTTTTATCTTCTTTTTCTTACTTTTTCACTATCTCTTATACTTTTTCTACATTATTTATTATCCCTGTCATTTTCCCCTTATGACGTTTTTACTTAAACTGTTTTCAGTCCCAGAGCAGACTAGACCAGACCAGACTTAAACAAACCAGACCAGACTTAAACATAACAGATCAGATCACACTTGACTTCCGTAGTTATAAAATACACAAAGACCAGACGTTTATCAGACCAGTTTAGACCAAATCAGACCAAACCAGACTTAAACAAACCAAACCAGACCAGAGTAAACTTAAACAGACCAGACCAGACCAAACGAGCAAATTACAGTTCAAGTAAAAACATCTTAAGTACTGTGTCAAAACCTAATGTAGTGATCTTTTAAATGTGGAGAGAATATATGTAATATAAATATTTCAAGTAAAAAGTTATGTTAGCATCATGATCATATGATTTTTCTATCACAAATGTAAATTTATGGTGTTAAATAAATATTTTAAATACATTTAGCATTTATGATAGTGAAGTTAACATTTTTAGTTCTATTTGTAAAATGACTAATATTGTCTCAGTCTATATATATATAATTGTAACAATTTGATTTTTATAAATACACGACTTTGAGCTTTGCGCAGTAGTAAAAATTATAGAGTTCTAAAGTCATATTATAGTATGGGACAAATTTATAATGTTTTATATAATAAAATTGTTTAATACGTCAATGAATAAAATAAGATCAAAATAGAGTGTGTGAATAATGTAATATTCATAAGTTTATAACAACTTATGAATATAATGTAATATTCATAAGTTGTCAAAGTGCTTAGATCTCTGCTCTCTCATAAGAGTAACCTTCATATCCCATAGGTGAGACTCTAAAACTTTGAGAGAGTCTTAGCGTAATAAATCCCATGCAAACACACATGCACACGTGGAACCAAATGAGTCGAGAAGCTTCTTTATTAGTTAGCTCATTTGTAGTTAGTTAGTTAACTACTTTTATTCATTGTAATCGTTTATATATAGACCATGTATTGTACATATCATTCAAGCTAATAATACAGTTTCCACTGATTGAGTCATTTTCATTTTCTTGTAAATCAAGCTTTTGATTTCTTCATGGTATCAGAGCGTACCTTGAAACTCTGTTGCATATTCTATTTTTAGTCATGCCTCGATCAACGATGGAAGATATTCCAAGTCTGTACTATGTCGGATCAGTAGATAATCTGAATGTTGTATTAGTGAATCCACAATTGAACGGAAACAATTTCCACTCATGGAGTAAGGCTATGCGAATCGCTCTTGGAGCAAAGAATAAGATGAAGATGATTAACGGAACCATCAAGAAACCTGCTGAGAACGATGATCAATTTGAAATTTGGGAAAGAAGTGACCTAATGGTACAATCGTGGATTTTAAACTCTTGCACCAAAGAAGTTGCTCAGTGCATACTCTACGAAGAAACTGCAGCTCAGATGTGGTCAACGTTGAATGAACGTTTCTCACAAAGTAATCTTCCTAGAGTATTTGATTTACAGAAACAGATACATGCGACAACTCAAGAAAATTCGAGTGTTACAGATTACTACAAGTTGGACTCACTTTGAAGAGAATTGAGTCAGTACAATCCAGTTGTAGGATGTACTTGTGGTGATGTTAAAGGATGCAAATGCAATTTTCTTAAAACTATGATGGAGCGTGAAGAAAGAAACATGTCAATGAAATTCTTAATGAGTCTTAATGATGCATTTACCGGGATTATGGGACAAACACTAGTGCAAAATATGCATTTTATAACTAGGATTTCGTATGGGGTGTTTTAGAACCGTTGTTGTATGTCAGCGCGGGGCCGTATTTATAATTAATGAAAATATGTGTGCTAGTTCAGCGGGTAAGTTTTGTAAAAATAATCTTGAATCAATAACAGCTCTTCATTTAGCCGACATAATATACCGGAATGGGGTAGTTTTACTAATTTCGTAAAACTAAGTTAGGGTTCGGGGTCTTTTTTATAAATCTTAATAATACAATTCTACGTTGGGCTCGTATTCAACCCTTGTTGAATGATTTTAAGATTTTATTTGCACACAAAATACTCCGTATCTGAGAGACACAAAGCATCTAGGTCGAAACAAATCCCACTTCGGGCGAGGACGCCGCACAAAGCTCCGACTTCCTCCACCGCCTATCATCCTTTCTACCTCGACAATCGTAGATGTTTCGTTGTTTCCTATTCCTCTCTATCAACGCCAACCACCTCTCATCCACCACAGGTAAATTTACGTTTTGAGTATATACTTAGCCATTTAGGGTTCGATTATTGCACGTGGTTTTGCTAAATATTTCATAATTAATGCTCTCACACCTATGTACCAAGCGGCTGTGAGAAGTTGGATCGGAGCAAAGAGATTGAATAATTGAATCGCCGGAGAACGAGATGGCGAATAGAGGGGGCGATGGTGATAGCATTGGTGCTCTTCGCACTGGGCTTGTTCTTCCAGATTCCGGAGAAGTCCGTCCCAGGGATTCAGTTTGAGAATATTCAGACTAGTGCGATTTCTAATTGGACATCATAGTTATCTTCTTCTGCCTTGTCACTATTCTCTTCATCGCCTTCAGAGTTCACATCTACGTTGGTTGGCTCTCTTTTTAGTCTTCTTTTTGTCTTTTTCAGAGTGTCCATATATAATCCCCTCTGTCTACTCTACATTAATATACTATGTTGTAGTTCACATTATATACTTTCCAGAGCAATTTATCTTGGATTAGTATTTGGTTTGGAATCAAATACGATTAGACTGAAAGTGAATCTATCAAGTGTCTAGATAAACTTATACGGAGTATAATAAAGTTCTGTTAAGATTTTTAAAATACTTCTTTTCAATTAGGGTTTAGTTATTGTGTATGTTTAGAATGTTGGATAAAGCATGGAAAATTTTAATTTTTTTCACTTTGCAATGTCTATTTCATGTTAAAGCATTAGTGAGATTTTCCAATAATGAATGTTTCTTCAAAAAATAATTCTTTTAGCACTCCAGAAAAGAAAAAAACAGTTAATCTCCGCTATTGTCTAATAATCTTGTTACTTTTCTTTATAATCTGAAACAAGTTTAATTTCTATGTTTTATTCTTTTATACAAGAATGCAAAACCTGGCTCTGCTCCTTTCCATTGAAAGTTTTACCTGAGAAGAAAGAACAATTGGTCCTAGTGAGGTATCATCATTTTCCCTGTGTAATGAATTTGACGTTTCAGGGTACTTCGATTGCGTGTTAGATGTTCCATATATATGTTTTGGAGTGTGTTAAAAGACAAAACATATTCTTTCCTGATTTCTTATGAGAACAATAATTGGTTGACTGAAAACTGAATGTGTGTTTCTATTCATCTGTTCACGTTTATTCAATTGCCTCCAAGTGTGAAAGTACATATTCTTAATACAGAGGGAATTTTTTCTTTCAATTTTACTCTTCTATAATTTTTTTTCATTATATAGCAATACTCTTTAAAAAGTACTATTTTTGATCTCTAAACAATCTCTAGCATGGAAAATGGTCAATTTACACTTTTGAGACATGAGTTGGATGTATATGCATGTCTACATGTAATTAAGGACATGACTCATTCTGAAACAATTTCTGTTATTCCTCAACACTGTTAGCTCTCCGTTCAAATATCTGTGAAGGCATATAATTGAAGCACAAGTAAAGGTATATTTAATCTCGGTATAGTTATTTCTTGTTATACTTCTTTACCTTTTATACTTCATTCTCATTTCTGCATTACTCTGAATTTGTTATATAATCTGTATATATGATTGTATATTCATTATGTACTGCTCCATTTATATTTTAGTAACTTTTTTACATTATTAAATATTATCAACTTTCTGACTATATCGGTGCTGAGCCGACGCTGCCTAACTGATCATCGGGCTATCAGTGTTGCCCCGTTGATCCCGATGGCCACTGAGCCGACGCTGCCTAATCGATACCATTGGGGAGCCGCCGCCGCTTCTGCTGCTGTTGGGCTGTCCCGATTATGCCAGAGAATAAGGGAGACATTTAAATCAAGGATATATAAATGTAATATGAACTCATGTTTAGTGAATAAATAATGTTTTAATCGTATTTAGTTCAACTTTCTCTAATAGTAATATGTTTATGACTATATATATGGAGTATTTGCTTTGTACATTGCTTTATGTAAATTCATACGTGACATTCATTATGCTGTATGCAGGTTGTCCTAGTTTTTGGAGATGTAATTCTCTTGCTTGTTGCTTATAAAATTCTTTTATGTTGCAGGTATAATTATACTGATGAGGTGGTATAAATTTCATTGATGTATTCTATTTGCCATGGAAGAAAGAGATTAAAATTTGTGATTGGCTTCTAAGGCTTGAGGTTTCAATAACGCAAATATGTTTTGCAGCTGGAGCTCCAAAGATGCTTTCCAGACTTGAAACAATGCTAATTAGATCAAGTAAATTCTTTGGGAGGATGTTAATAGGTTAGAGGCTCGTAGTTTTTTAACTAATTTTGTTTGTATTTTCTGTTGTATTAAAAAGCTTGTTAGATTGTTACAACAAAGGTCATTCAAGAAAAGGCTTGTTAGATTGTACTAAAAAGGCTTAGATTGTATTTTCCAGACAAGAAAAG